CGCACGTACGCGGGGCGTACCCTCGGTCTACGCAGCGCGTAAGGACAGGTGTCCGATCTTCAGTGGTGGTACGTGGCACGCTTCGGACCGCAGAAAAAGTCAGACCGTGGGGCGTTCGCTTCTCGTATGCAAGGCGTACTCCGAAACGCTTAACGTCCAAGGATACACTGTCACACCCCAAAACCGGAACGGCGGAAACGTTCGGGGGCGGAGGACGTCATGCACAGTATCACAACAAAGCATAATAGTAAACAAGCAACAACATCATCCATTGCATTAATAATATAATTTAATACAAGTGTGTTCTGTGAAGTTTATAAGACACCAAAAATGTAAATCAAAATAAGAGATGAGTCTTGCACGAGCTCCATCTTCTCAAAACCTGGCATCGGTACCTGTCTACTGATGACCTGAGAATACAAGTTATTTTGAAAGAGTTGATCAACTTTAAAGCTGGTGAGTTCATAAGTATTTAGTGTCAATGTTTGTATAAGTTTACTGAAAATGTTTGTAAATGTTCAATGTAAATGTTTGTAAGTGTTTGATGTATAAGTTTGTAAATGTTTGCAGTAAATGTTTGTATCTCGTAGAAAATCCTATATTTTCTACTAAATGTAGCCTTCTACCAAGGCATCAAATGTTTTGTATGTATGTTTCTTGTAAAAGTGTGTATTTTCCCAAGTGTGACTATCATTAACCAAAAATATAGTTTTTACATTGCCGTTTATGTGAGAACATCACAATGTGAATGCAATGGGAAAATAATAAAGTACTGTAGTGTTGTATTATAGTAACTACTGCTGTACCAACTACCTTAAACCAATTGTTATTTAAGGTATAATGTGATATGATTGTACCATACTATCGACTAAAAACACGACGATGAAAGACGTCGGAAGAAATGACATTTGGCACCCGTAGACTTGCAAGTCCCACTGTAGCAAACAACAAGGTGTAGGATAGTCAATCCAGTATAGATCTATACACAAGTTCACGCTCTCCCTCCAGGAGACTCTGGATACAAAACGAGCCATGGCAGGTGATACCATGCCCCGAAACTGTGGCTCACATTTATGTTATAGTATTCTTGTATATGTATTGTATGTACTAGTGTAATGTATGTTCTCTCTGTCTAGTATGTAGTATGTTCTATTTGTTTCTCATCATAGTATGTTCTCTTGTATAGTGTATAGTATGTATTGTTTCTCGTTATAGTATTCTCTATCTGTTTCTCGTTATAGTATGTATTGTTTCTCGTTATAGTATTCTCTATATGTTTCTCGTTATAGTATGTATTGTTTCTCGTTATAGTATTCTTTATCTGTTTCTCGTTATAGTATGTATTGACTCATGTATGAATTGACTCTTTGTATGTTTCATTGTACTAGAAATAGTGAATAGTGACTTCCTAAACTATACCTATTATAGTTTACTAGTAAAGTTGTTTGTATAACTGAGTGTATTAAACTAAGACAAAAGCTTTTATGTCTTATACATATATACATAATATATAACTAAGGATCAAACGACACTCAGACAAACAACAGGGTACTCTAAGTTCACAACCAAACAAGGAACAGGAAATAAAGTGTGTTATCTGTCCTAAGTCCTTCCAACCTTACTTATATAACTATACATGCATTAGACATGGTTTTGACAATATATAAGTTTAAAAGAGTTAAAGGAAAAGGTTTGTCATGTAAGAACAAGTTTGATAAAGAGTTTAACATGTAAAAGAGTTTGATAAACATTTTGAAGTAGTTTGATTGATAAAACAGCTAAAAGTATAGCAAATCCATTGTTTGATAGTTATTAATCACATGTGATTGATATAATAACTATAATGTTTCAACTTGTATTCCCCCCCCCCCCCCATGAAGGCATTTAAAATCATTTAAAAGGTAGATTAAGGGGTATGAACTCACATGTAGTGAGTGATACGGAAGTATGTTTGGAAATAGGATGTAGAGTGTCAGGTGAAACCTTGAGCACACAAAGATCCTAATAAACATATAATGACATGTAGGTGTATTTGATTAGTGTATAAACAACTAATTATAAGGGATAACACCCTAATAGACTAGGAAACTCTTAGATTGAAGGGATACAATCACATATGATTGCATAACTAGGGTGTATGGCCACCCTATTGAGTTTACGGTCCAAAGAGGCATGACCAAAAGGGAGTTCACGGTCCTTGGAGTTTACGGTTCTTGGGTTCACGGTCAAATGACCTTACGGTCATGGAGTTCACAGTCTAAGGAGATTCAACCGCAAACTCACCAAATCTTTCACAAATGCTGGTTTTCAAGGGCTTCAATCAAAGGCATCGGATTCTAGGGACCATGCTTAGCCTTAGGAAGGGTAAAGGCTATAAAAACACCCTTTATAAGGGTTTACGGTCTATGAAGATGCACTAGACCGTAAACACCTTTTGTTCTTGAGTTTCTTGATGTTTTCTAGGTGTTTAACAAGTGATTCAAGTATATAACAAGCTAAGGGTAGTGTACTTACTTATTAGAAGCTTGTAAGGGTGATTAGGATCCAAGAACACTAGTGTGTGTTCTTGGTGTTCTTGGTGAAATGAAGAACACTTGAAGATCTATCAAAATGAAGAGATTTCATGGATGAAATCATGTATAATCACTAGATATAGCAGGATATCACCAATCAATGGAAGAAATACTTACAATCTTGAAGATCTAAGAGAAAAGTCGGATGATACTTGAGAGAGAATGAGTTCTTTGGCTTGAAATGGTAAAAGTGATTGAAAATGACTAAGTGTCATATATAGCATGGAGTTTTTCGGCCACCTTGACCGTAAACTCAAGGTCCTGACCGTAAACTCCTTTTGAGGAGGTTTACGGTTTGCTAGATGGTTTGAAATTTTAACTGACAATTCCAAACACTGATTCCTTTGATGTACTAAGCTCAGAATGCTTAACAGACTCCAAACAGTGCTAAAAGTTAGCAGAAACGAGTCTGACTTTGATTGAAATGAATGGTTTGTACAAGATAGAAATTTCGGGTTGTCACATACGCTCGGCGTACCCCCTCGGACAGTCTCGCAAATTGTCATTCCGATTTCAAAAATTCATAACTTTCGCATACGAGCTCCGTTTTCGACGTTCTTTATATCCACGTTTAGGCGGGACCGTACTCTACAACTTTCATGTAGACTCCATCGGCTAATTTTGAATCTATTTTTAAAGTTATATTTTTAACAAGTCGGGACAATAAAGTCCATTAAAAATTAATAACTCCTTCATCTGACGTCCGTTTTCGTTTGTCCTTTTACCGTTGCGCTACTGTTAACGAGACCTTCAATTCTCGTTTAGGTTGTGGCGGCTAAAAATGAGTCGATCTATCATTCGAACTCGGGGTTACCGGTTGCATAATGTCAATGCGAAACTTGGAAATATCATAACTTCCTCATACGAAGTCAGATTTGGGCGTTCTTTTTATGTACGTTCTCGGTTTGACAAACACTACGACTTTCGTTTAGATCGCTAAGGTTAAAAAATCATCTATCGCAAATTCACTATTTACGTCTATCGGTGTCGTGCTGGTTCTGTCGCGAAACTTCGACAGGTCATAACTTCCTTGTTATAACTTGGATTTTGGCGTTCTTCATATGTCCGGAATCGTTGTCATGACCACTACAACTTCCTTCATAGACATCGGGTTTATCTAACATTTTATTTATTTATTTATTTATTTGCGCCTATTTTCATTCTTAATTTATTATATCATTATAAACAAGTTTAAAGCATATAAATTCACATAATTCACATAATGTTCACATAATTCATTTTTACTACTTCGAATTGAGTTACAATGGTTGACCTTATCTATTACATTGTATTTCTAATGCTTGGCCTAAAACACGAGCGTTACACACTGAAAGCATTTGCCTTCCGAAACCTTTCCTTCGGATCAAGCCACATGTCAAGACGAGTGGAAAAAAAACTCATATGGAATTTAATAATTATATTAAAATATTATATGAAATTTAATAAAATAGAAAAACTCATAAAATGACATGTGAAAAAAAATTCAAAATAACCACAAAATGATATTTGATAAATTAAATGAGAGTGTGACAAATGGCAGAAAAAAAATTTAAAAAAAAAAAAAAAAAAAACCTTCAATTATTAGAGTAAATGGTGAAATGAAGTTTGGGAAATACCATATTATTGACTTGAAAGAAAATATAGAATTGTTAAAGAACATTAGAGTTGGTGGTGGTCGACTAGAAAGGAGATGAGAGGGATGTAACATGTATTTTGTGGCTATTTTTAATTTAATAATTTTATAAAAATTAATATAAAATATAATTAAATAAAAAAAGTTAAGATATAACAATAAGGTTATAAAAGGTTGTTATGAGTCAGCAAGCAATCGAAACCCCAAAAACAATTTATTTAACCAAAATAAAAGATTATGAAAAAAACCAAAATTATGGAAAATCATATGGACCATTTATGTAATTTTTCATCACATAATATGTTATTCATATCAAGAGAATAATATTTTAATGTGTTTCATATTTATGTACGTTTTTAATTAACAATATTCAAAGTAAATACTAAAGAGTTACATGTCATTCTCGTATAAAACACTTTTTATTTAATAATGATTATTGAGTATGACCTAAAAAGTGACAACAAACGTTTGTTTATTGATTTAATTTTTAATATAACTTAATTAATTTGTCAAAATTGTGATAATAAGATGCCAATTATTTAAACAAAAGGAAAAATATTAGTGTAAGCAAATCTCATGAGATAAGTTTCGTTACAATTATTTAAATATATATCATATTTAACAAAAAAAAGAAAAAAAAATATACGCGGGAAATAAAATTAAACATATGTATTGATTATTGAATACAACCAACAAGCAAAAAGTATACCTCCACACATAAAAATATAATTTAAAACAGCAAAATAGTTTAAAAGATTATAATTATACGAAGCTCCTCGTATCATGAGAGACGATTAGGGTTCGGTGATTTCCCCCGTCCAAGTTGGTGGCAGCATCCGGGTTTGGTCATGCACCGTGTTATACATCGGCGGCAACATTTTATACACCCCGGCGACTTCCTGCATAGCACCACCATCACCGCCCTGTCCACCACCACTTGCGCCGGCCCAGATGCTAATCTTTGGCTGCAAACCTTTTACTGCCTCACCATTAATCTTGGCGATTTCTTGATACATTCCTCCATCAATCATCAGATAATCTCTGAACGCTGTGTAGTTACCTCCGAAGGCATCCAAAAGGGTGCGTATACGTGTACCTTGAGCTTGGGCAAGAGCAACGAGACCCTCCGCCTCTTTCTGTTTTGCATACAAGTCACCGTCGGCGACTTTTTGGTGGGAGTAGAGTGTCGCCTCCGCCAACACCTTCTGAGCCTCCGCTTCTTTTTCTTTCTCGTAGAGACTTGCATCAGCGGCCTTTTGCTTCTTGTAAAGTTCCCATTTCGCCTCTTGTACCTTTGTATACAAGTAGATGTATAGAATATTAATTTGCATGAAATAACGACTTGAAATGGTTTTGATTAATTTGTGTTATATATATATATATATATGTTGGATAGACCTTGGTTTCATACTCAACGCCAGCTTTGCTCAAGAATTCAGCCTTGAGTTTCTCGGTTTGAGTCAACATGTTCATGATCTCAACCTCCTTCTGCAACTCAGCCTCCCGGAGCGCCACCGCCTTACTCGCCTCCACCTCGGCTACCTGTGAGTCTTTAGCCCACTTTGCCTTCTTCATTGCCAGCGCCACCTTCGCTTCAGTCACCTCAGCCTCCCTCTCGTTCTCGAACATCTTCACCTCCGTCATCACCTTTATCTCCTCCTTCTTCCGCTGTCCTTGCATCTGTGTAGCTATGATCTTCGTCTCCGAATCTATCTTCGCTGCATTCTGCAACGTCTGCCCTTCACGAAGCTTTGATCCAACTTCACCCTAAAACAACCATGCAACCAATCACGATTAAATTCCAAACACAACTCAAAACCCAAGAAACTTAAAGTTTAAATCAGTTCATATGAAGAGAATCACCTTCATTTTGGCCTCAGCAACGTCGACCGTTGCTTGACTTGTAGCCTCCATTTGTGCTTTTTGCCCTAAGTACGAGAAATACTCGTGTCCAGGAACGTCGGCCAACTGCTTGTAATTGGCGTTGTAGATCCACAACCCGAACTGATTTAGTTCCGGCTGAACCTTCTTCAGCATCTCCTGCTTAAGATCCCCTTCGAGAACCTTTTTCATGGTCATGGACGCTGCGAGAGTACGGGTCTCCCCCTTGATGATCCCCATGACAAGCTCCTTCACATGGTTTGATAGCTTATCATGAGGAGCGATAAGCTTTGCGTATTTGTGGAGGCTTTCATCGTCGTCGGAACATGGACCAATGGTGAATACAGCGGGGAGAATGAAGGGAAGTTTCTCGGAGCTCATGGCCTGGACTTCAAAAGTATAGTTCACCGGAGAAATGTCCAAGACGGAGTAGGATTGGCCAGGAAGTACCCATGCTTTCTTTGCGATTTTTATGTCGTCAATCCCGCAGCCAGTGATCACCAAATACTCTGAGGCCTTTGCTGTCTGATACATGGCCGGAGATACTGAACGGATACGGGGGATCGAGGGGGAACGTATTGTATTAATTTCTGTGTAGTAAACTTGAGATGCCAATGGAGATGGAAATGACTCCTTTATATAGATAAGGATGGAGCTAGAACCTTCCTGGTAACTTCGTTTGAAGACGGTTGCCATTTATCAATAAGTCAATAATAACTTATAGTAATCGATATAGTAATCTAGATGAGAAATTAAACTAACGTCCCTGATTAAATCTACAAACCAGATGAACAATATGTGGGGTTGACGACATAAAAATATACAACAGATAGTTGATGACATACATATTTCCAGTTGATGACATACATATTTCCTAAGCCTTTCCATTTATGTCGTAAATCCCGCAGCCGGTAACAACCGGTCATAATGGTAAAATGTAAACAGTTTCAATAGTTCAGTGACAAATAGATAATGAAAAAAAGTTTACTGACTAAATGTGAACAAAATCGAAAGTCTGTTGCCCACTAAAAAAAGTTCAACGACTAAATGTGAACAAACTTCCTCTTCTATTATGTTTTAGCAAATTATTTATTTTTTGTTAAATTCTAGCAACATTTGTTGATGAAGAAATCTATGACATAAAAAAACAAAACCCCAAAAAATATATTAAAAAAAAAACGAAAAAACCGAACCCGAAATAAAAAACCAATGGTTTGGTATTTTCCAAAATAAAAAATCAAAATTTCCAATCTGATTTTGATTTAACAAAAAAATGAACAATTCTCACCCATAGCTAGGGATGAGCATATGGATCGGGGAACCGGCCGGAACCGGTACCGGTACCGGAACCGGAACCCGATGGAACCGGTCGGGCCGGGACCGGGACGTTATTTTTATGGATTTTTGGAACCAGGAACCGGTAGGAACCGGAACCGATATAACCGGAACCGGTAGAACCGGCAAAAACCGGAACCGTATGATGCTATTTTTCGAGGACCAGTTCCAACATTTGAAGACACGACAAGAACCGGTAGGAACCGGGAACCGGGTAGAACCACCGGGCCGGTTCGGTTCTTGATTTTGGCCGAAGCCGGTTCCCGGGTCCGGTCCGGTTCGGGCCGGTTCGGTCCTTTTGCTCATCCATACCCATAGCTATTAAAAAATTGTGTTTCATTGTCAGAAATTACGTTGTATTCTAAAGAAAAAAAATAAAAACCTTATTTTTTTAAAATAGTTATTTAAATATGAATTGTTTTTTCTAAAACCTTTTAAAATTATGAGTGACTTTTTTGAAAGAAAAAAAAATAAGGCCGTTTTAATTGTTAAAATTTAACAAAAATACATAATTTGCTAAACCACAATACAAGAGGTAAATTTGTTTACATTTAATTATTGAACTTTTTTTTAGAAGGAAACAAACTTTTAATTTTTTTTCATATTTAGTCACTAAACTTTTTTTATTATCTATTTGTCACTGAACTATTGAAACTGTTCACATTTTACCCTTATGACCGGTTGTTACCGGTCATATGGATAAAATATAAACAATTTTAATAATTCAATGACAAATAAATAATAATAATAAAAAATTTAGTAACTAAACATCAAAAAAAAATTAAAATTTCATTACCTTTTCAAGTTATTACTCCTTATTATAGAATAAGTTAGCCACGAAAATGGGGCCCTTTGACATAAAAGACACAATCGCGCGTGGACGTACACAATCACTTACAAGTGTTCATGCATCGCTCATTCCCAACCTAAACTTTAAACTTTGTTTTTTAATTTCTAAATTCTAACCCTTCAATTTATTTTCATTTTAAGGTCTTACGCTTTGTTCCCTGAGTTTTTTCGCAGATTAATTAAAGAAAGGGGAAGGAAACTTATTAATCAGTATAAACGTTAAGATATAATTTAATGAAACTATAGAACAACAAGGTTTAATAAGCGGTTAAGATTTTTCCATAACATTTAAAAACTAACATTATAAATAAACAGGGAGGACTTGCTTTTCAATATAGCAAAAAAAAAAAAAAAAAAAAAAAGTTAAAACATACAACCCCGGGCTCATTCCCAACCTAAACTTAAACTTTGGTTTTTTATTTCTAACTTCTAACCCTTCAATTTAGTTTCATTTTCATTTTCATTCCCAACATAAACTTTAAACTTTGTTTTTTTATTTCTAAATTCTAACCCTTCAATTTATTTTCATTTTAAGTTCTCAAAGTGGTCATAGAAACTTATTCATCGGTCTAAACTTTAAGATATAATTTAAAGAAACTATAGAACAATAAGGTTTAATAAGCAGTTAAGATTTTTTCATAACTTTTAAAAATTAACACTTTAAATAAACAGGGAGGACTTGTTTTTCAATAGTCACTCACGATTCAGTATTTTGTGTAAATAGTCGATCAAGTTATTGGTTCATTGGAACGAAAGTTTGAACAATATAAACAATATGAAAACATTTTGGGTTTCTTATTCATAACAGAAAAGTTGACATCACTGAATACTACTGAGTTAAATGCAAGTTGCAAAATCATTGAAACGAGGTTGCAAAATGGTCACATCTCAGACGTTAATGCTGATGATTTATCTAACGTACTAGAATTGTTAAAAAAAATTACCATTTGAAAATAATACAACTAATACAATACTAAATTTCGTAAAAATACAACTAATACACAATATTGTTGACTATTTCCATTACCATTGTATCAACACCAAAAAGCATTTCAAATCTTATTTGTGATTGAACATGTCTCAAGAGAGATTAAAAACTTTGACTTTAATTTCAGTTGAAAACGAATTTCTTAATAATATTGATTGAAAAAGTGTAATAGATGAATTTTCTTCTAAAAATGCTAGAAAATCGATGTTTAGAAAATAGTAATCCATTTTATCTTTTTTTTTTCTAAAATTTGACTATAACAATTATAACTTATTACTATAGAGTGAAAAAATAATGTTATGATAGTAAATTTACCAGATGTTTGTTGACAAATTTAAATTTTGAATTTAACGGTGGCAAAATTAGTCAATACTTTTATACAAAAAAAGTATGAGGCCTCATTCACATACGAGCTCCGTTTTCAACGTTCTTTATATCCACGCTTAGACGGGTTTGTACTCTACAACTTTCGTTTAGACTCCGTCGGCTAATTTTGACTTTATTTTTAAAGTTATATTTTTAACAGGCCGGGACAAGAATAGTCCGTTAAAAATTAATAACTTCTTCATCTGACATCCGTTTTCGTCTGTCTTTTTACCGTTACGCTACTATTAACGAGATCTTCGATTCTCGTTTAGGTTGTGTCGGCTGAAAATCGCTCGATCTAATATTCGAACTCCGGACTGTGCACTGCTAAGCCGAAACTTAGAAAAATCATAACTAATGTACAGTAATAAAAAATCTGATGCATTTCTATTCACTTATAAATAACGATAGCTGAAACTATAAAAAAATAAAATTTTTCATTTATCTTAAAACTATATCAATATAGATGTCTATTTTGTAGAGAATAAAAAATTATGAATTTTGATATATTTAAAATCATTTTTCGATAAAAATAGCTCCTTAAAAATTAAAAAAACGAAAAAAATTATGTTTTTGTATATATTAAGGTTCTGATTAGCATATTTAAGGAAACATGTTTTGTTGGAAAACACATGTGCACTCCTTTCTCATTTCCGCCGGTACGATGGAGGCTTTTGCGGCAAAAATAAATGAGTGGCTGAAAATGATTCCCCCATTCTCAACCTTTTTTATTTTCTCAATTGAACAAACCTCTCTCTCTCTCTCTCTCTCTCTCTCTCTCTATATATATATATATATATATATATATATAGATATATATATATATATATATATATATATATATATATGGGGTTAGCTTATTCTATTCTAACTAATTGTTGTGCGGATATCGTATGCTATGAAAAATTACTTAGAGAATAAGTTGTTTAGCAATGCGAATACGGTCAACCTTACAAAAATATCGTCATTTTCATGCATTCTCCCTAATTATTATTTATTTTTGTTCTCACACATCGTTTTTCACTCATTTTCATTCTGACAGAATACGACCCAATAAACATTCTGACAACCACTCTGACAAAAATGAGAATAATAATAATAAGTGTATAATAACCTTATAGACGATTTAATTAGTGAGAATGTGTGTTAATGACAATAGTTATGTAAGCTTGAACGTATTTATATTATCAAACAACATATTTTCTTTATCATTCTCATAGCATACGATATCCGCACAATAATCAGTTAGAATACTTGAACCTATATATATATATATATATATATATATATATATATATATATATATATATATATATATATACATATATATATATATACATACATATATGTATGTATATATATATATATATATATATACATATATGTATATGTATATATATATACATACATATATACGTATGTATATATATATATATACATATATGTATATGTATATATATATATATACATATATGTATATGTATATATATATATATATATGTGTGTTATTTTGTTTCTTACATTTATTGTGTGCTAGAATGCACCAATAGGAATCTAGTAAATTAAATAACTATTTAATTAAATAAATATAGATATTAAATGATTTCCATAATTATATGTATATTAAATGATATACATAATTATAATTCTCTTTTTATGGAAACTAATTAAATCCTTCATTAATGTCAGCAATAACATTCTTTCATAATGAATTCGCATCTAGGTTTTTATATATGAGTTCGTATTTTGTTTTAGGACTCACTCACTTAAAATACAATAAAGTTGCATGGAATATGAAGAACGAGAGTGTATTCTAATAGAATACACTCTCATTCTGCTAGAATACACTCTCATTGTTCTAGATATGAATTCATTCTGAAAAAATATTATTGTTGACATTAATGACGAATTTAATTAGTTTCCATATAAATGAGTTATAAGTATGGATAACATTTAATATACATATAACTAATACTAAATTCCTATTGGTGCATTCTAGCACACAATAGATGTAAGAAACATTTGAATCTCTCTCTCTCTCTCTCTCTCTCTCTCTCTATATATATATATATATATATATATATATATATATATATATATATATATATATATATATATATATCTAGAGAGAGAGAGAGATAGGTTCAGGTGTTTTAAG